CCATATGGTCATTATAGCTGTATTTTGGGTCTCTTTCAGTCTGAATACAGCTATAATGACCGTACGTCTAGCTTTCCAGCCCGGTGTCGGGACCGGTGGGTCCGGCACTTGAGAGCCTATATATAGCCAAGTTGTGCACGACAGAGAAATCCGGAGTAAGGAGAAAAGTTTAACAGGGTAAGGCCCTACACCGGGCGCCCGGGGTTACCCCACCGTGCCCCGAATTACACCCCGGGCGACCCCCCAGAGCAGGCACCCGGGCGCCTCTCGCACCGAGGCTGAAAAAGCCTCAATTTCTTTTTTCGTGCTGCCTCTGGCGCATTTTTTTGGGGGGTCCGGTAGGCCCCATTTTGTAGGTTTTTATTGTTTTTTGGATTCTGGCCGTCGACGGCGCGCTCTGATCCAGGATTCCACTTTGAATCGTGGGCTTCTCCTTAGTTTCTTCTTCTTCTTCTTCTTCTTCTTCTTCTTCTTCTTTTTCTTTCTCCCTTTCTTTGTTTCTTCTTTTTCTTCTTCTTCTCCTCCTCCTCCCTCCTCCCTTCCTCCTCTGACGTGGCGCTCCTCCCTCCTCACGCCCCCTCCATCACCTTGCCCCCTCCCTCCTCCCTTCTCCCTCCTCCCTCCTTCCTCTGGCATGGCGCTCCTCCGTACTCTCTCCCTCATTTCACGTGGCGCTTCTCCCTCCTCCCTCTGACTTGGCGCTCCTTCATCCTCCCTCCTCCCTCCTCCCTCTGATGTGGTGCTCCAGCACAGGTGGTACACAGCAGCTGCCCCCACCCCACAAATTGACAGTCCATAATCCAGGCCCCTCCTGCACCCCCTCTCCCCCCTTCCCCCCCAACACAGAGAAATCGACATGCATGAAAGAAATAGAGGCCAGATTCGGGCACCACTCCTAAAACCCAGCAAGGTCTGCCAGTTAAAAAAAAAAAAAAAAAAAAAAAAAAAAACCTCAGTGTTCTTTTTTGCATGCCCTGGGTACCCCGGGCGTGGTCCCTAGTAGACTCCCTACCCGGGCGGCGTGGGCGCCCTGGGAAAGCTAGGCATGCATTTTATTTCGGTGAAGAAGGAAGTCTTCCGTTCTTCCTTCCGCTGTACGGCTTGCTGCGCCTGCCCCTTCTGTCACGCTCTCGTCAGTATTCCTGTGTTGTGTGGTGTAGAGGTACGCAACGCAATGCCATACGTATGCATACCCTTGCATAAGTGTGCGCAAAGTTCCGCCGCAAACCCAAGTTCTTTTGTTTTTGTTTTTTCCCCCCTGGATTTGCAATGAATTTTGCTTCGAATCTCAGCCAAAAGTTGCTGGTATTGCAATTCCTCATAACATTTCCCTTATCCAGATTCTTGCAATTTTTTTTTTTTTTTTTTTTTTTTTTTT